AGCTGCGGCTGCTGCTGCTGCTGCTGCTGCTGCTCCTCCAGCTGCTGTAGCTCCAACAGCTGCCACTCCAACTCGAGGCTCTCTCTCTCCAACTCCAGCTGCTCCTCACGTGCACGACAAAGACGGGCCTGGTGCCGAGTCGGGTAGGGGTGCGGGCGCGGAGTAGTGTCCGGGGCAGGGGCACCCCCCCTCCAAGGCACCAGCCGCACCACCCCCAGAGCCAGCACCACCAGAAGTAACGCGGTCAGTCTCGGGCTCTCCAGGTCCAGCAGAGGGCGCACCCCCAGTCGTAGCACCCCCAGGGACAGCTCGACTAACACCAGCTCCCCGAAGACTAGCGGCTCCTGTAGGCACGGACTCAGCTCCTACTCCAGCACCCCCAGAACCAGGAACTTGGACAAGTACGCTATCAGCTCAAACTCCAACTCCGCTAGAGCTAGCACCGCCAAGGCCGTGGTCACAAACACCGGCTCCCGCAGGGTCTGCAGTAGGCTGTGAGGAGGACTGCGGGGAAGGAGGCTGCACCTGAGGGGCTACCGAGGGGGGAGGGGTAGCGTGGGACACACCTATCCAGGTTGAACCAGAGGGGTGAGGCTGTACCGGGGGAGCAGGAGGGGGAGCGGAAGTCAGGAAGAGAGGGGGAGGAGGAACCGGGAGACCTCGACAGGGGTACCTGACGTAGTAGGGGGCAGACTCATCGAAACGAACGTTACGGGAGTCAAAGAACCGGTGAAGGGGAGGGTGGTAAAAGGTGTGGTCAGAGGAGTCCTTTGGGAAACCAAGGAAGACACAGGGAATGGCACGAGGTGAGATCTTGTCCACGGAGGTGTCGCAAACAAGTGCCAAGCAGCCCTAGACATGAAAACGCGACACAGCACCAGAGGACCCGGTCCAAAGACTGGTCGGTGAAACCTTTGGCCAAGAGACACGTGGCCAGAGGTTCAGCTGGTGAGCGGCGTACCGAACCGCGTAGGGCCACAGAAAATGGGGGGCACGGGCGTGAGTCATGGAGGTGCGGGCGATCTCCATGACCAAGCCTATGCGGCGCTCAGCAACCCCATTCTGTTGTGGGGACTCCGGAAGCGTCCAGGACTAACGGATGCTCTCTTCGCGATAGAATCCAGCGAGAACGCCGGAGCGAAACTTACCCCCTCAGTCGTTGTGAAGACAGCTGACACGACGACCACGAGTGTCTGCAGTGGTAAGCAACCACTTGATCAGCGTAGAAGTCACCTCAGACTTCTTCGCCAGGGGGAACACTATGCTGCAGCGGGAGCAGCCGTCAATGACCACCAGAAAGAAACGCTCGCGCTCAGGGCCAGGGCGAGAGGCGGGGCCCCAGACATCGAAATGGAGTGTCTCAAAGGGCTCGGTGGCCGGACGAAGGGAGGAGGAGTGAGGGGTGGCGCGCAGCCTACCCTCGACACAGGGACCACAAGGTTGTGCAAGTGAAGGCGGCAGCGACGGCAAGACACGCGGGAGGCCTAGGACAATATGCCGATTAGACATAGCGCGCAGTTGAGTAATGGACGGGTGTTTCAGCCGGTGGTATCACAGAACGGTGGGTGGGCAAGCGACCGGAGGGGGCAGTAAAGGTGGGCAGCTGAGGGACAATACACTCGTGAAACAGTAGAGGGGCATAGCACCAGAGGCAGAGGCTACCGAGCGGAAGTTGCTCGACGTCCTTGAGGGCCGACGCAAGGACGCCAATAGTGAGCTCGCTAGGGTGCTTCAGAAGAAGCGCGTCACGAACCGAGGCAAGGCGGTCAGGGAGGCTAGTGGCGATGAAATAGATAGTAATCGCCATAGGGGGAGGGAGCAGTGCAAGCTGTGCGTCAGTAAAAGCAGCCCGATAGCTAGAATCGAGCGAGCGCATGTGAGTGATTAAGTCAGCAGAGCGCTCAAACGAGGCGAGGTCAGGAAACAGGAACGGAAGGAACAGGCGACTAAGAGAGACATTGGTGGGAGTAGCGTAGCAGGCCTTGATCGCAGTCAGGAACTCACTAGCCGTGCGAACCTGAGTGAAGTGGGCCTCCTCAGACTCAGGGAGGAGGCTGCTAAGGGCGATGCAGGCCGCAGCGTCACGCGACTTCCATGCAGTCGCGTCAGCACGCTCGCGTGGATAACGGTCACTATTTGCTGGTGTGGGGATAGCTGCTAAGGGTGCACGATCGGTGGGATCAGGAAGGTCACCGAAAGCGTGCGCCCACAGTCTCGCCCCCCCGAACCTGACTCTCCAGGAGGCGGCGCTCACGTAGGAGCCAGACCGAGAACTCGAGCGGCCTACCCTCAGGGTCAAAGCGCAGGACCCTAGGGGTCGCCATAGCGGAAGCATAGAGGTGGAATTGCCGCTGTCGAAACCCTAAACGCCTAGAGGGTCCGAGCAGGGCGCGATAGGCAGAGCGGAAGGCACGACTAGACAGGAGGGGGGGACGAGACGCGACAGGCAGGGGACGAAACGCGACGAGCAGGGGACGGGATGGGCAGCGCGACGCGACGGGAAGGGGACGCGACGGGCAGGGGACGGGACGGCAGTGCGACGCGACGGGCAGGGGACGTGACGGGCAGGGGACGGGACAGCAGCATGACGCGACGGGCAGGGGATGCGACGGGCAGGGGACGGGACGGCAGCACGACGTGACGGGCAGGGGACGGGACGGGACGACAGCGTGACGCGACGGGCAGGGGACGGGATGGCAGCACAAAGCGACGGGCAGGGGATGGGACGGGCAGAGGACGGGACAGGCAGGGGACGCGACTCGACGGGCAGGGGACGGGACGACGGGCAGGGAGGCGCATCGAGCAGGTGACGGGACGGGCGGGTGACGGGCGCGACGCGACGGGCAGGGGACACGGCACGACGGCTAGGGTACGGGGGCGATAGGCGCTACGGGTGCGACGGGCGCTTCGTGATGGAACAGGCAAGCGGTAAGGGCGCTACGAGCGCAACGGGAGCTTCGTGACGGAACGGGCAAATGCTAAGGGCGCTATGAGCGCGACGGGAGCTTCGTGACGGAACGGGCAAGCACTAAGGGCGCTACAGGACGAAACGGACGGCCACACCGGGCGCTACCGTACGAAACATGCACAACGGGAATGGTTGGCTACGTGCAACGGGCGCAAGAGGCTCTAGCAGGATCCCACAGGATCCGAACCTAGGTGATACCATGTCAGAAATGAAAGTGTTGCATTGACAGTGTTGGTTGGGTTACATAAACCTAACCCTAAGAAGTGTACCCCATATGACATGCCTCACTATAGGCTACAACATTTGACATTTTGGGCCCTGCTTGTACTCCTATCTTAAATCATCTTGTTCTCTCGCAACCCCCTTAAACAAGATCACTGCAATACTTGACTGTCTTCCTAATAACTTAGAAGCCCTATCCTGTCCACCGCGATTCTTGGATTATATCAACATCCGCTATGCACAAAGGGGCTTCACCGCAAAATGGTCATATACTAGAGAGATTACGGTATGTGTTACGATGGTACAGTACTTTTGAGATGCAAAACATGAGAAAAGTTCCACTTCCTCGCCCGTTCCTATACCACATTTCCGTGGTGTTCGAAACGAGATATTAGTACGTCCCCTATAGAAAGTACTCACATTTGCAAGAAGGAAAATGGTTACACGCCCTTTTCAAAATCCACTATCGGGTAGTACAGTTTATTTGGCATTCACTTGTTCGCAACTTCCCCAAACCCTTCTCCTCAGACCCAACGACCCTTGACCACATCTCCACCTCGCCATCGCCACTACCTTTCACTCCGCCGTCGCTACTCCCTCTCCGTCGCCACTCTCTCCCATCCCGTCGTCGGCTCCCCTTCTCATCCCGCCGTCCCCGCTGACGCCGTCGCCTCCCCTTCTCTCCGTCGCCACTCTCTCCCATCCCGTCGTCGCCTCCCCTTCTCATCCTGCACGAGCGCGACCTGGCGGGCGAGCGCGGGTTGGTCTCTGAGGCACCGTGATTCTCACGTGCGTTTCCCCTTCCTCAGTCGTTTGTCGTCCCTTTCCACTCTGAAATTCCCTCACTTCCTTACCTTTTTCGTAGGTTCTGTGATTGGTTTCCACTTGCGTAGCTTTACCATTTTTTAAAAGAGGGAGAGAGGGAGCGCGAGGGAGAGCGTGTACGGGAGCGAGCGCGCAGTATAGTGCGCGTGAGAGTGCACGTGAGAATGCGCGTGAGAGAGCGCGTGAGAGAGCGAAGAAAGAGCTGGAGGGAGCACCAAGAACGTGTGGGAGGGAGCGAGGGAGGGAGAGGCGGGAGAGAGAGCACTATGGGCGCCATAATCTTTCGACTAAGCTACGCGCCCTTAGTAAGGTTGAACATCTTGGGCTGTGGGCTTTAAGATAGACTGTTCATATGATTGCCCTTGAGTTTATGCCGTGGAGAAAACCTCCGCTGGCTCTTGCACCATCAGCAGCACCCGTTTTGCCATTCTCAACCCCTCAAGCCCTCCTTCAACCCCCCAACCCCTCAACCCCCCAACCCCTCAACCCATCAACCCCCCAACCCATCAACCCCCCAACCCCTCAACCCATCAACCCCCCAACCCATCAACCCCCCAACCCTCAACCCATCAACCCCCCAACCCCTCAACCCATCAACCCCCCAACCCCTCAACCCATCAACCCCTCAACCCATCAACCCCCCAACCCCTCAACCCATCAACCCCCCCAACCCCTCAACCCCTCAACCCATCAACCCCCCAACCCCTCCTAACTCTTCACTTTCTGAAGAAACAGGTCTGTGAGTACACCGAGCAAGCGAGGATGGTCGATACCAAGGTATTGGCTGATGCTGATGCAGGACCTCAAGGCGAAAAAGGCGGGGGAAAGGGAAGCGGCGAGAAGGCCGTGAGTGAGAAAGCGCAGGCTCGGAAGCGGGCAAAGCTGGCGAGGCTGAAGAAGAAACTGGCGCAGAGGAAGGCCGCCAAGCGTGGAAATGACAGCAAAAAGGCAGGCGCGGCGCCAGGGGGGCGAGCGGCAGGAGAGAATGGGGGTGGGGGGGAAGAGAGGGAAGGGAAGCGAAGGCGCATGGTGAAGCACCCCATGCGAGTGGCGGGGCAGCGGCCAGGCGAGCAGTGCTTCTCGTGCGGCGCTGCAAATCACGCCGCCAAGGATTGCCCGAAACGAAAGGAGCGCAAAGTGTCCAAGGTCAGTACTCGCCGCTACGTCTCTCTCCACCTGGCCCTCGCCTTCCATTCCATACTCCACGACAGTCACCACCCTCCTTCCTACCCGCCATCGCTCCCTACGTGACTCGCTCTGTTCCTCCTCTCTCCCTATTTTCCATCCGTCTGCGCGGCGTCGTCCCGCCAGGCGTGTCTCTTCTGCCGGCAGTGGGGCCACGTGGTCAGCGAGTGCCCGCGAGCCGCATCGGCGTCCGCCGCACCTGCTGAGCCGCACCCGCAAGTCGCCACTGGGGAGCTGGGGACGGGGGTCGCGGCAGGCGAGAGCGAAAGGCGGGAACAAGAAGACAAGAGTGCGATGGGCACAGAGGGGCTGGGAGTGGGGGTGTGCTACAACTGCGGCTCCACGCACCATCGGCTGCACAACTGCCCTTTGCCGCGAGCCAATGGTATGTGCTCAAGGTTGTTGGAACTTGGGTTCGCTGCTCATGCTGCTCGTCGCCTGCCCATGCTGCTCGTCGCCTGCAAGCCGTTGGGCGGCGGCGGTGGGGAGTGGATGGCGCTGCATGCGTTGAATGCCCTCCCTATGATCATGCGCCACTCGTGTGCATCAGCATCCCCCAGCACGCTTGTGGCCCGCACTCATTGCTGACTCGCCCATGCGTTGTGCTGTGATTGGCATTGCAGGGGGAGCAGCGCATGCAGTGTGCTTTGTGTGCCAGCAGAAGGGTCATCTCAGCCGTGACTGTCCCCAGAACCCCAACGGCCTCTATCCCAAGGTGCTCTCTTCATTCACACCATTACCTCTCCAGGTCTTGCAACGGCTGTTTTTTCTGTGTGATGTTTCTTTGGTACTTCCCTGTGCTAGACACACTCTGGTTCTTTCCTTTCTTGCTGTCGATGTAACACTCGAGTTGGGTGTATGGCATTTGTGTGTTGTGCATGTGTGTTGTGCGTGTGTGTTGTGCGTGTATATCACCTGGTGTTGAGTTGTGCGTGTGTGTACATCCTTCAGGGCGGGTGTTGTCGCATGTGTGGACTCAAGACCCATCTTGCTCGTGACTGTCCATCAAAGCAGCCTGCTGCTACGGCTGCTGCTGCTGCTGCTCCTCCTGCCAGCGGTGCGAAGATGGACGAGGGCCAAGGCACCAGGAAGCTGTTGAACAGTATGTTGACAACGTATTTGATTGAGCTGTGCTTGTATCATATACCGCACTCGGTCTCTTCCTTGTACAGTGTTCTGCACTCCCCTGAACTGCCTCGATTACCATTTCCATCCTTCACATTGAGGATTGAGGACCCCCTTCTCCTACCATCCCCCACCCTCTCCTTCTTTGCACTCGTGCGCTTTTCTTCCCTTTCCCTGGATGAAAGGGTTTCTATTTCTTTTTCCTTGCCATGTGTTTCCTCCCATTGCTGGCGCGTTGGTAATGAGAGACCGACTGCATGGTCTTGCAACCATGCTGCACAGTGCAACCATGCTGGATGTCACATTGCAACCATGCTGAATGTCACATTGCAACCATGCTGGATGTCACATTCCAACAATGGTGAATGTCACATTGCAACCATGCTGGATGTCACATTGCAACTATGGTGAATGTCACATTGCAACCATGCTGGATGTCACATTGCAACTATGGTGAATGTCACATTGCAACCATGCTGGATGTCACATTCCAACTATGGTGAATGTCACATTGCAACCATGCTGGATGTCACATTGCAACTATGGTGAATGTCACATTGCAACCATGCTGGATGTCACATTCCAACTATGGTGAATGTCACATTGCAACCATGCTGGATGTCACATTGCAACCATGCTGAATGTCACATTGCAACTATGCTGGATGTCACGTTGCAACTATGGTGAATGTCACATTGCAACCATGCTGGATGTCACATTGCAACTATGGTGAATGTCACATTGCAACCATGCTGGATGTCACATTGCAACTATGGTGAATGTCACATTGCAACCATGCTGGATGTCACATTGCAACTATGGTGAATGTCACATTGCAACCATGCTGGATGTCACATTGCAACTATGGTGAATGTCACATTGCAACCATGCTGGATGTCACATTGCAACTATGGTGAATGTCACATTGCAACCATGCTGGATGTCACATTGCAACTATGGTGAATGTCACATTGCAACCATGCTGGATGTCACATTGCAACTATGGTGAATGTCACATTGCAACCATGCTGGATGTCACATTGCAACTATGGTGAATGTCACATTGCAACCATGCTGGATGTCACATTGCAACTATGGTGAATGTCACATTGCAACCATGCTGGATGTCACATTGCAACTATGGTGAATGTCACATTGCAACCATGCTGGATGTCACATTCCAACTATGGTGAATGTCACATTGCAACCATGCTGGATGTCACATTGCAACTATGGTGAATGTCACATTGCAACCATGCTGGATGTCACATTGCAACCATGCTGGATGTCACAGTGCAACCAGGGCGCCACATTATGGTTCGTGTCTTCACTTGTACATTGTTCACTCTGTGCTTCTGCGTCTGCTGTGTGATTTGAGTGTGTGCAGGGCACCACATTTTTCCTGGAGGAGACGACTTGGGGGACGACTTTGGGGATGCTGTTTTGCAGCCGCTGCAGGCGAAACGAGGGGATCAGCAGGATGGGGAAGGTGGTGCTTCAGAGGATTTTGAAGAAGCTCAAGGTAGTGATGATGAGTTGTTAATGGGGAACAAAAACGCCGGTAGGCCAGGGAGGTTGGCTGGTCGGCGTTTCAGTGGCAGGCGGGGAGGGAGAGGCCGAGGCGGAGCTTTTCATGCTGGTGGCAACAGGCGTCAGGGAAAGGGATGGTGAACATGGATTGTGCAAAATGTTTAGAAAGGATGTGTGGCCTTTAGTACGTACGGAAATGAAAATGTATGTTTTAGAATGTGGCAGTTACTGTCAAAGTACTAACAGCATAACGAAATGACTAGCAAGGGTTGAGATACAAATAGGCACCCTTAAAAGGATTGTATCCTCTAGAGTGTAAAACATTTTTCACACCCCCATAGGCTTGGTAAGGGGGTGTTGAAACTAGCAGGCGAGAATGATGCATTGACATGAGAGTTGGGTACAAGTATCAAACCCTAGAGGGGTTGTACCCCATATTGGCTACCCCACTACACCCTACACATATATATCACATATATAATTTGACACACCCCCATAGGCAAAGTGGGGGAGAGCAAGGGGTCACAAGACCAGTCAAGAGAGACAAAAGCAAACCCAGAGTGGATCACAACGTCACCACACACTCTGAGCACAAGCAAAGGGCCACAAGGCCAGTTCACATGCAGGGCTATACAGAACAATGAAAGTTCCGTAGTACAGTGATCACAGCCTAGAAGTATAAGCATGCGAGGAAATATATAGATCACAGTACAAGCAAGGTCAAGCAGTAAGCAAGTGAGGGAACGAAGGCACAAGGCCTAACGCAGTACAGTGCCGCTGATGGTCACTAGGCGGAAGCGCCTTGGTGAATATATCAGCAGTGTTAGCCCGCGAGCCCACGTACACAAGACGAAGCAGACCACGCTGCTACAGCTCTCGAGCAAGGAAGTAGCGTAGAGCGATGTGCTTCGTTCTGTGCTCCAGTCTGTGCTCCTGACACAAGGCAAGGGCTGCCTTGTTGTCGCCGTACAGAACTGGAGGAGAACGAGGCTGCTCTCCCAAGTCAGTCAACAGGTAGGTGAGCCAGCGTAACTCCTGTGCAGCCATGGCTGTAGCGTAGATCTCAGCCTCACAACTTGAGCTGAGAACAGAAGAAGAGCGGGTGGACCGCCAAGAAACAGAACCAGAGCCAAGGCTGAAGGTGTAACCCTGTGACGACCGCTGCGTAGTCTGGTCGTCAACCCAAGAGGCGTCTGAGTGTCCAGTGAGGACAACTGGGCCCCGTCCTCCAAGCACCAGCCCCATGCCTGATGTACTGCACAAGTAGCGCAACACCCTCTTAGCAGCCTCCCAGTGCTCTTGCCGGTGTCTCCCAGGCGCAACGTAGCGAGCTAGGATGCTAAGAGGGTACGCAAGGTCAGGTCGAGTGCAAGTCATCAGGTACATGAGGCAGCCCACAAGCTCTGGGTACGGGCCACTCGGCTCTACGGACTCGTCCGAAGGTGGAGCTGAGAGCGAGTGGCTGGTAGACAGAGGAGTGGACTGTGGTGAGGAGAACTGGAAGCCGAAGCGCTGAAGGACCTGCTGCACCATGTGTGACTAAGTCAGGGTGATGGTGCGGCGTGCTCTGTCCCGGGTGATCTGCAAGCCAAGGTAACTGTGCAGCTCACCCAGGTCTGTACACGTGTGTCTCTTCTGCAGCTCCGACTTCACAAGAGCGAGTGCCTCAGTGTCAGCAGTAGCAAAGACCAAGTCGTCGACGTACACGAGGATGTAGAACGGCGGCAGTGACGTGTCTGTGCGCAGAAACAGCGACGGGTCTGCAGTGGAAGGAGCAAACCCAAGAGCCGCAAGCGTTGTCCTCAGTGTGTCGTGCCACTCACACGGTGCCTGGCGGAGACCGTAGACTGGCCGTCGGAGGCTCCACTGGGTACCAGGAGGGAACGACCCAGTGAAGCCAGGAGGACGGCGCAGCCAGATCTCCTTGTGCAGGCTGCCCTGCAAGAAGGCTGTGCTGAAGTCAAGAGAGTGAAGCTCGTAGTCACGCTGAGCGGCAATGTGCAGCAGCACCCGAAGAGTGGTCATCTTCAGGGTAGGGGAGAAGGTCTGGAAGAAGTCAACTCCCTGCCGCTGACTGAAGCCTCGAGCAACGTAACAAGCCTTGAAGACAGGCGGAGAACCCGGCGGCCGCTTCACCCTGTAAAATCCACATGCCATCGACGATGTTCGCCCCAGGGGGGGGAACCTCATCGACGTAGGTGCCTGTGGACTTCCAGGATGCCATCTCTGCGTCCATGGCTGTCTGCCACTGAGAGGAGTAAGGACCCGAGATCGCCTCTGCGTAAGAGCGCGGGGTAGGGATGTCCAGTGCATCCGGGTCTCCCTCAGGGGCAAGCAGCCAGGCCGTGAGATGAGGTACAGCAGCCGCAAGACAGTCAAGGTCCTCCTGCCTGTCCTCAAGGACGTCCGTGCCAAGAGCACACTCACCCCCGACGGACGGAGGACAGACAGACTCAGACTCAGCAACAAGACTGGCAGCGTAGTCTAGACGACAGGCAACAGCAAAGTCAACAAGCTCAGCGACAAAGGCAGACGCAGCAGCAGACTCGAACGACGGGTCAGTGACAACAGTGGCTAGCAGACGCGTGACAGTAGGGTGCTCAGCACGAAACCGGTCAGACTCAGGGTCCGGAACGTCAGGCAAAGAAGACGCAGGAGGAGACGGCAGAGGAACACGCTGTGGAACAGAGGAAGGACGAAGGGCGACGAGGTGCGCGCCGGGGACAACCGGCGGACGCTGATGAGAAACACGATGACCGGTACGACCAGGACGAACAGGCGAGACAGGACGCGACGCAGGCTCACGACGCTCAGCAAGACCACCGGGCTGCTCAGTGTAAGGAGGAGGAGCAGGGAGCGGTGAGCCAGGCAGTAACGGAAGACCAGTAGACGACGGGAGGGTAAGAACCTGACGAAGAACAGAATAAGGCGGCGGCAGAGACGACGGAGACGGCGGAGCGAAGAACAGTCGTGTCGGCGCAGCTGCACCAGCACCAGCAGCTCCAGTACCTCCAGCAGCTCCAGCAGCTCCAGAACCTCCAGCCCCAGAACCGGCACCTCCAGTCCCAGGGTCTCCAGCCGCAGTGTCTCCACAAGCAGTACCCCCAGAATCAGCACCTCCAGTCCCAGGGTCTCCAGCCTCAGTGTCTCCAGCAGCGGCACCCCCAGACGCAGCACCCCCAGCCCCAGCAGCTCTAGTACCTCCAGTACGAGCACCTCCGGGACCAGCGACTCCAGCACCTCCAGTAGACAAAGGACCAGCACCACTCCTAGCTCCAGGGACGTCAGCAGAAGTACCTCCAGTAGCAGAGCCCCGGGCTCCAGCAGCGCGACCCTGACGGCGACCGTACCAGTCGTGCAGCTGCTGTGAGGTGAGAGGCACACGTGGACGAAGGCGGCTACTCCAAGGAGACCGCGCAGCAGTCTCAGTACCCTCAGGTGTCGCACCTCCAGACTCAGCACCCCCAGACTCCGCACACACAGGCTCAGCACCCCCAGACACAGCACCCCCAGGCGCAGGACCTCCAGTCTCCTCACGCGCAGGCTCAGCACCCCCAGACTCCGCACCCCTAGGCTCAGCACCCCCAGGCTCCGCACGCTCAGGCTCCGCACCCCCAGGCACCTCACGCTCAGGCTCCGCACCCCCAGGCTCAGCACCCCCAGCAGGACCCGAGTCACCAGTGACCTCAACAGGCGCAGGCACGGGAGGGTCTACCTGAGAAACACCTGAAGGAGCAGGACCTGGCGCGGGGAGGGGGTCTACCTGGGGAGGACCTGGAGCGAGAGCGAGTGGCAGCATGGGGCGAGGGGCAGTGCGGTAGGGAAAGAGACGGTAAAAGGGGACGGACTCGTCAAAGGTGACGTCCTGAGACGCAAAGACACGGCGTGAGGTGGGGTCGTAGAACTGCCAGCCAGGCGCGTCAGTAGGAAAACCAAGGAAGACGCAGGGAATGGCGCGAGCGGAGAGCTTGTCTGCGGTGGTATCGCGGACAAAGGCACGAGCACCCCAGACCCGGAAACGCGACGCATCGCCAACCTTCCCCGTCCACAGCAGTGTGGGCGAGGTCTCCGGCAAGGAGACACGGGGCCAGAGGTTGAGCTGACGCGCGGCGTACCGAACCGCAAACGGCCACAGAAAATGGGGGGCAGCCGCATGGATCATGGAGGTACGAGCGACCTCCATGACTAAGCCAATGCGGTGCTCAGCAACCCCATTCTGCTGCGGGGAGGCCGGAAGCGTGAACGACTAGGTGATGCCTTGCTTCTCACAGAAGGCTCGCAAGAGGTCGGAGGTGAACTCACCACCTCTGTCAGAGTGCAGACGCAGGACGGGAAAGTCCGACTGGAACCGCTCGCGGAGCTGGAGACGAACAGCGCGGATCCAGGGGATCAAAACAGCAGGGACGTCCCCCTTGCTGCGCAAGGGGAAGACCGTGGTGTAACGCATGTAGTCGTCGACAACCAGCAGGAAGTACCGCTCACGGCCCTGCCCCTGGACGCGGGCTGGGCCCCACACGTCCAGGTGGAGCGTCTGCAGTGGAGCCTCTGTGGGAGGAAACGAGGAGGAGTGAGGAGCGGCGCGCTGCCGTCCCTCGACGCAAGGAATGCAGGGCGGCGCAGGCGAGGGAGGGAGGGCAGGCAGAGACCTGGGAAGACCAGACGACAAGTAGGCGAGAGTGCATGCTACGAAGGCGGGGCAGGGAGGGGTGACCAAGGCGGTGGTGCCACAGGAGAGTGTCACGCGACAGGCGGCGACACTCACACTGGGTAGCTACCTGAGCGGACAGCTGTGGAGACAAAGGGGTGTAGCGTGAGATAGTGGTGAGGGTGTAGAGACTGGACCCAGGCTCACGAGTGAACGTGGCCAGGTGGCGGCCAGTCCTAGAGCACGTACAGATCGCCACACGCTGTCCTCCAGGAGTCCAGGTGTCAACCCAGTGATCCTGAAGGACGGCGTTGCTCACCAGGTTTGTAGAGAACGAGGGGATGTGGAGACCAGACAGCTCACCGGACGGGACCGCCGGACACGGGAGCACAGTGGAGGAACGAGCAAGCACTGGGCCCCCAGAGGGGTCAGCTAGTGAGACAGGGACAGGCGCGGGAAGGGGAGTGACAGTGGTACTGTCGCGAAAGAAACAGCGAGAAGCACCAGAGTCAAGTGTAAAAGTGTGCAAGGCCTGTGCCGACTCAGTACCAGGGGGGGCAGACTCACTAGCACCTAGAGCAGCAACCTCTATACCGGGGTCAAGGGGGAAGCACAAGTAGCAGTCACCCTCAGCACTAACAGTCAATGCATACATGGCAGCAAGAATCTTATCATAGTCTAGATCAAAGATAGGAACCTCACGCCTCATCAGGTCTGCCCACTTGGGCAGTTCAGTCGCATCAGGGAACCTGGCGCGCCAGGCGTCGCTAAGACGGGAGAAGCAGCGGTACTCAGTGTGGAAGCCGTTGCATGTGCGACCAGTGCGGGGACCAGTGCGAATGACATAGGGGTAGCGAACAGGACCCCCAGGCGCCCCACGCTGAGCGTACCAGTCATGGTAGCTGCTGGGTCGTGGGGGTCTCGCGCTGACGCTGCTGTTGCTGCTGCGGCTGCTGCTGCTGCTGCCCCTGGCCACCACCGGAACTTTAGCCCCCACCACCGCCGCCACCACTGCTCCCTCCTCCCCCACTGCCGCCGCTGCCACCTCCACTTCTACCTTCACCGCCTCCACTCCCCCCACCGCATCCACCCCCACCACCGCCCCCACCTCCTCCTCCGCTCCCACCTCCTCCTCCTCCACCACCTCGACCACCCTTGCCCTTGGTGCTGCGGCGCTTCCCACTAGGAGCGGAAGCCGCCCCGACCTCCTCTGCACGCAGGAAGTCGACTGCAGCAGCAACAGAGGCATGAGAGGAGGCGAGGGGGGAGGGGGAGCACCCCTCAAAGATGGGGGTGCGAGGAGTGCTTCGAGCAGCACTGACAGCGACAATGCTCTTCTCCGCTGCCTGAAGTTGCTTCTCGAAGTCGTCTATGGTGAGGGTAGAGGGGTCGAGGGCAAGGAAGTGGTCCCTGACCGAGCGAAGGGAGTCAGGGAGGCGGGTGACGAGGAAGTAAAGGGTGAAGTACATCGAGGGGTGGTTCTGCGCGAGAAACTCGTCTGAGAGGGCAGCACGGAAGCTAAGGTCACTAGCACGCAGGTGAGAGATCAAATCCTCAACAGTGGAAAACGAGGACAAATCGGGGAACAGGTAGGGCAGCATAAGACGGCCGAGGGCTGCTGAGGCGGGAGAAGAATAACGCGCAACTACCGCGTCGTACAGCGCCTTAGCGGTCTTGTGCTGGCTAAAGTGGGCGCGCTCGGGGATCGGCAGGTGGTTGCGAATCGCTAGGCGGGCTACAGCGTCACGGGTCTGCCAGCTAGAGCGAGCGAGCGCGTCAGCGGTATCAGTAGGGGCGGCAGAGGCGCCAGAGGCAAATTCAAACAAGGAGACGCCGTCTTTGGAATCAGTCAGCAGGAAAAGCTGTAAGTCCTCTAGCCAGGTAGCGAACTCGATTGGGCAGCCATTAGGCTCAAATTCTAGGACGTGAGGAGTCGTCATCGGCACAGCGAAGGGAAGCCAAGGCAGCAGGCAGGCAGGGGCCGGGTGTGGGCTAGGGCGTGGGTGTAGGGCGACGAGGCAGGCAGGCAGGGGGCCGGGCGCGGGTATAGGGCGACGCGGCAGCCAGGCAGGGGGCCGGGCGCGGGTGTAGGGTGACGCGGCAGGCTGGCAGGGGGGAGTCGGGCGCGGGCTTAGGGCGACGCGGCGGGAAGGCAGGGGCCTGGCGCGGGCTTATGGGCAACGCGACGGGCAGGCAGGTGACCGAGCGCGGGCGTAGGGCGACGCGACGGGCAGGCAGGGGGCCGGGCGCGGGCTTAGGGCGACGCGACGGGCAGGCAGGGGGCCGGGCGCGGGGTTTAGGGCTACGCGACGGGCAGGTGGGCGGGGCCAGGCGCGGGCTAGGGGCAACGCGACGGGCAGGCAGGGGGCCAGGCGCGGGCTTGGGGCAACGTGACGGGCAGGCAGGGGGCCGAGCGCGGGCTTAGTGCGACGCGACGGGCAGGCAGGGGGCCGGGCGCGGGCTTGGGGCAACGCGATGGGCAGGCAGGGGGGGGCCGGGCGCGGGCTTAGGGCGACGCGACGGGCAGGCATGGGGCAGGCGCGGGCCTGGGGCGACGCGACGGGCAAGCGGGTGGGGCCGGGCTCGGGCTTAGGGCGACGCGACGGGCAGGCAAGGCAGGCGCGGGTCTTAGGGGCGGCGCGACAGGCAGGCAAGGCAGGGCGCGTGTGGGGCAGCGCGGTAACCGCAGGCAGGCAGGCGTTCGGTGGGCCCAGGAAAAAAAAAAAATCCGGTCCTAACAGACCTACTGCTCTGAAACCATGTTGAAACTAACTGGCAGGCGAGAATGATGCATTGAAATGAGAGTTGGGTACAAGTATCAAACCCTAGAGGGGTTGTACCCCATATTGGCTACCCCACTACAGCCTACACATATATATCACATATATAATTTGACAGGGGGGAGTCGTGCAAGAGAAACCACTCAGGGCGGATGGCCAGAATCAAGACCTTGGATGGGACAAGTCTGCCTTCTTACAAAGTGAAAACAACGGAATGAGTTAGATTGATTGTGTTGGGGTACAAATGCCTAACCCTAACTGTTTGTACCCCATATAGCATGACCCACTAGAGGCTATAACATTTGACACACCCCCATAGCCTAAGTGGGGAGTTAGCAACAAAACACAACCTAAGGTCACAAGACCAGTCACAAGCAAGAGAGCAAACAGAGCTCAGGGTGGATCACAACGTCACCACCAGTCTGAGCACAAACAAGAGGCCACAAGGCCAGTTCAAGAGAGTACAAGCTAATATATATAGTACAAACAAACAAGAGGCAAGAACTCACTACTGCAGTCTACTAGACCCAGTCTCAACGAGGCCTAACTGCAGACAAAACCGGCGGTGGTCACAAGGCTGAAGGGCCTTGGTGAAGATGTCTGCAGTGTTGGCCTCGGAGGCCACGAAGTCCAGACGCGCCTGACCGCGTCTCTGCAACTCTCGAAGGAGGAAGTACCTGACGTCGATGTGCTTCACTCTGCTCTCCAGTCGAGGCTCACGACACAGGAGAATCATCGCCTTGTTGTCAGCAAACAAGGTCGGTGCAGAGCTCGGCCACTCACCAAGGTCAGTGAGCAAGAAGGTCAACCAGCGTAGCTCCTGTGCAGCAAGGGCTCCAGCGTAGATCTCGGCCTCTGCGGTAGAAGTCGCAACAGAGGAGGACCGAGTAGACCTCCACGAAACAGCTCCAGAGCCCAGACTGAAACAGTAACCCTGCGTAGACCTCTGAGTCTCAACGTCGTCGGCGTAGGAGGTGTCGTAGTGACCGGTGAGTACAACTGGCTGTGTCCCTCCAAGTACAAGCCCCATGTCTGATGTCGTGGCAAGGTACTTCGCCACCCTCTTAGCCGCCGTCCAGTGAACAGGACGGTGTCTCCCAGTCGCAACAAAGCGAGAAAGGATGCTAAGAGGGAAGGCGAGGTCCGGGCGAGTGCACGTCATCAGGTACATGAGGCAGCCCACCAGCTCTGCGTAGGGACCACTGGGCTCGAACGGCTCGTCAGGAAAAGGCCCAGTGAGTCTGTGGTCTACAGCAAGAGGGGTGGGTGTAGGAGAGGAGTGCTGAAGCCCGAACCGCTGAAGGACCTGCTGCACCATGTGTGACTGAGTCAGAGTGATGGTGCGAGCGGCTCTGTCCCTGGAGATCTGCAGGCCAAGGTAGCGGCGCAGTTCCCCAAGGTCAGTGCAGGTGTGTCTCTTCTGCAGTTCGGACTTCACCTCCGCCAGTGCAACTGTGTCGGCTGTGGCAAAAACCAAGTCGTCAACGTGACGAACAAACAGCGACGGGTCGGCGGAAGACGGCTCAAACCCGAGGTCGGACAGAGTAGAGCGGAGAGTGTCGTGCCACTCACGGGGTGCCTGACGGAGACCGTAGACCGGTCGTCTGAGGCTCCACTGGGTCCCAGGCGGGAAGGTGCCAGTGAAGCCCGGAGGACGACGCAGCCAGATCTCCTCGTGTAGGCTGCCCTGCAGGAAGGCGGTGGAGAAGTCGAGGGAGTGTAGCTCGTAGTCCCTCTGTGCCGCTACGTGAAGTAACACCCGAAGAGTGGTCATCTTCGGGGTGGGCGCGAAGGTCTGAAAGAAGTCAACCCCCTCGCGCTGACTGAAACCTCTAGCCACGTAGCGTGCCTTGAAGACTGGGGGAGATCCCGGCGGCCGCTTCACCTTGAAGATCCACATGCCGTCAACTATGTTCGCCCCTGGGGGGGGAACCTCGTCAACGTAAGTGCCTGTGGACCTGTAGGAGGCCATCTCTGCGTCCATGGCAGCTCTCCACTGAGAGGCCCAAGGCCCTGACACTGCCTCAGCGTAAGTGCGAGGAGTAGGTATGTCAGGAGCGTCGGGGTCTCCCTCAGGAGCGAGCAGCATGGCACAGAGATGAGGCGAAGCAGCTGCCAGGAACTCTAGCTCAAACTGTCTGTCCTCTAGGACGTCACAGCCAAGGGCAGACTCACCCCCGGCGGACAGAGGATGAACAGGAGGAGCGGCCACAACACGAGTGGCGTAGTCAAGGCGACGCGTAGCAGTAAAGTCAGTGACAGCGGCAGTGAGGACCGCGACGGAGGAAGGAGAGGCACGAGGGTGGGTAACAAGAGAGGCGAGAACACGAGAGAGAGTGGGGCGGTACGTGCGGTAGTAGTCAGTGACCGGAGTGGACAGGGAGGCAGTGAGAGACGACTCAGGAGGGCGAGGAAGGACAGACGGAGGAGAACGAGGAGGACTAGGACGGAACAACACAGTACGGAGGTCAGTGACAGGTGACGAAGGACGAGCACGAGGAGGACGAGAGGCCCAAGTGTGGGCGAGAGGAGAGGGAGACGGAGGAGACTGAGAACGAGGGAACACAGCCGGAGCGGAGTCCGGAGGAGGAAACGTAGGACCGAACACAGGAGGAGAGGAGGGGAGACCAAGGGCCCGAAGGCCAGAAACAGGGGCCGGAGGCTGCTCCAGTTGCTGCTGCTGCTGCGGCTGCTGCTGCTGCTGCTGCTGCTGCTGCTGCTGCTACTGCTGCTGCTGCTGCTGCTGCTGCTGCTGCTGCTGCTGCTGCTGCTGCTGCTGCTGCTGCTGCTGCTGCTGCTGCTGCTGCTGCTGCTGCTGCTGCTGCTGCTGCTGCTGCTGCTGCTGCTGCTGCTGCTGCTGCTGCTGCTGCTGCTGCTGCTGCTCCCGCTGCAACTCCAACCGCTCACGCTCCACTCGCGGCTGGACCTCCAACCTCTCACGCTCCAAACGCTGCTGCTCCTCACGCTCAACACGAAGAAGGGCCTGGTAACGAGTAGGGTAGGGGTGAGGAGGAGGAGTGGTGTCAGGAGACGAAGAAGAAGAACCAGCTCCGCCCTCGACAGTACCCGGCTGAGCACCCCCAGAGCGAGTACCCCCTGCGACAGCACGACCAGCACCTGTAGGAGGTGTACCCGCACCCCCAGTCGTGGTGCCTCCAGTGGCACCAGCACCAGTCCCAGACCCTCCAGCTTCAGAAACACCACTAGCTCCAGCACCACCACGAGCTCCAGTACCCTCGGAACGGGCAGCTGCGGCAGGTGCACGCTCAGCGCCAACGCCAACACCCCCAGAACGGGCGGCTCCTGTAGGTGCACGAACAGCTCCAACGCCAGCACCCCCAGAGCGAGCACCGCCAGAGCCCTCACCTCGAGCACCAACACCCTCAGAGTCCGCAGTGGCCGGTAAAGGAAGCGCTGACGGCTGCTAAGGAGGCTGTGAGGACGACTGTGGGGAAGGAGGAGAGACCTGGGGGGGTACCGAGGGGGGGGGAGTAGCGTGGGACACACCAGACGGAGCGGGAACAGGGGGGGGTACCGGAGGAGCAGGGACGGGAGAAAAAGGAGCTGGAGCCAGGAAGAGGGGAGGGGGGGGAACCGGGAGACCTCGACAGGGGTACCGGACGTAGTAGGGGACGGACTCGTCGAAACGGACGTCACGAGAGTCAAAGAACCGGTGGGAGGGAGGGTGG